TGAAAAATAAAATATTAAAATATAAATAAAAACTAAAAAATAAAAATAAAAAAATAAACTATTGAATTATACACTTTAAATGGATAAATTGTATGGTATGTCAATTATATATCAAGAAAGCTGTTATTAAAAAGAAAAAAAAGAAAGAAAGGAATTCAGTAACACTTGCAGGACTATAGCTCAGAACCAAAAAGGAGGCAAGCCAAGCACCTGAGCAGGTCATCCCGTCAATGCTGCCACACATAAAAGGCAAAGTGTGACTGAAAAAGGAAGAAAGCTATACCTCATATACCTCATATACCTCAAAGCTATCCCATCAGCAGCATGGGACTCATACCCAGGCTCCATTATTACCTGAATATTCAATAGAAACTATGACTAATAGCTTTACAATTTCAGGAGCAAATCTGGTGAACAATTCACCTGACTCCTCCATTTACTGTGGAAATAAAGCCTCTGTCATTGTTTATAGTAATGAGAGGGATTATAACTCAAGTGATGATCTTCAAATTAATTACAGGATAACTAGAATAGTCTTCTGATACACTGAGATTCACTCATTCCTTCACAAATAATTTACTGAACGTCTGGTATGTACCAGGCACTGTTCTAAATATTGGAGACAGAGCACTCAACAAGACATAAATATAGATATCTGACTCCAGAGCCACAACTTAGCCCTTATATTCTGCTTGTTCATAGCATATACTGTGATAATCTCAACAATACTGATGAATTTGCCCTCAGTCAGCCAGGTTCTTAACTAATGCTCCTGCAAGAAAACCTTCTGTAAGGGTCCTAGACTGGAATTCAGTTTATGTGCTTAAAACATTAAGGTTACAAGATCCATGCACTACATACAAGGCAATGATTTTCCAAAAACTTATCCCCTAGAAAAAGAAGGGATATAACAATTCCCTATAATGTGTGTCATGTTAAAGTTAAGGGTACTATTTAAATTCCTTTACTTGAAACCTCAACCAATGCTGTGTTTTTTGTTTTTTTTAAATGTGTATAGAAGCCACCAGACAAAACTGGTATAAAAGAAGGGAAAAGAAAAAAATGTAATACTTTTTTAGTCATTGACCTCAAAATTGTAAGTGCTGGATGTTGCTGTAAACAAATTATATTAAGGAGGACTTTAAAAAGGAGTAAGTGGCCCAGCCAGTGTGGCTCAGTGGTTGAGCGTCGACTTATGAACCAAGAGGTCATACTTGGGTTCCTGGTCAGGGCACATGCCCGGATTGCAGGCTCAATCCCCAGTAGGGGGCACGCAGGAGGAAGTCGATCAATGATTCCCTGTCATCATTGATGTTCCTATGTTTCGCTCCCTCTCCTTTCCTCTCTGAAATCAATAAAAATATTTTTTTAAAAAAGGAGTAAGTGAATGATTATGCTATAGACAATGCATGAGGTAAGGATGAATGAAAAAAACAACTGCTAATGTTATGCTAATAGATTTTTCTGGTTTAGAATAAGCTTTCCAGTGACATCACCTTGTACTTAAAAGGAAATAAAAATGATGTGCTCTAGAAAACTGTTATATTAACTCAAAAAGTAGATCCAAATGAGGACAAAACACTGATGTTAAATGTTTGAACATTTTCACTAAACATCTCTACTAATGCATTATATGTGATTAAAAAATATATATCTATTGATTTCAGAGAGAGGAAGGGAGAGGGAGAGAGAGAGATAGAAACATTGATGAGAGAGAAACATCAATCAGCTGCCTCTTGCACACCCCACACTGGGGATTGAGCCAAGAACCCAGGCATGTGCCCTGACCCGGAATCGAACCAGTGACCTCCTAGTGCATGGGATGATGCTCAACCACCTTAGCCACAACCAGCCAGGACAATAATTGAACATTTATCAGGCACCTACAATATACCAGACCTTGTACTATCAGCATTTACATAAAGTATGTCATTTAATCTCCACTTACTACTATAAGATGGACATATAGGGACTTGCCTATGGTAACAATAGACTAGTATGTAGCAATATTAAAACTCAAACAGTATCTTTCTGACTTAGAATCCATGTTCTTTCAACTATAGTATTAGTAAGCTTCACTTTGTAAGAGACTTAAATTTCCCTCAGTACTCCTGAAAAGATGGAATTTATCTGTCTACCTGAGTGTGGCCACTTCGTTTTATCAGTTTTACCCTTGTTTGGTCCAGGCAGGGTACATCCCCATAGCGGTTCTTCTCTAGGTTTCCTGGAGACCTGAAGAAAATGAAATAAACAAGCAAAATAAAGAAAGAAAAAAAGTGGGGGTAGTATGTATGTGTACGTACAAAGCCTGGCAGTGCTAAGGTGGGTATCAGTTACTGTCGAGGGCAGGTATATTGAGCTTTTCATGATCTAGTCTATATAATTCCATATCATTTAATATTTTAATAATAAGTAAGTACTATAGAAATATTTCCATTAAAAAAAGAGAAATAGAGGTACAACACCAAAAAAATCTAGCTGAAAATAAAATTTTCTACTACTTATTTCCAAAAAGATTTTCAAAATAAATCTCTTAACTTCCAGTTTAACAAGGTAGGCTGATAACATGTTTGACGCCAGTCCCTCCAGCAGCCTCATTAAAATAAAAAAGGAGCCCCTTCAGTTGTGGCTCAGGGTTTGAGCATTGACCCTAGGAACCAAGAGGTCATAGTTCAATTCCTGTTTGGGGCACAAGCCAGGGTTGTGGGCTCAGTCCTCACTGGGGGGTGTTCCTCCCTCAGCCATGTTTCTATCTCTCTATCCCTCTCCCTTCCTCTCTCTCTCTCTAAAATTCTATATAATAAAAGCCTAATATGCTAAGTGTCCAGTCGTTCAATCGTCCGTTCAACCAAAGTGTAATATGCTAATGATATGCTAAGGCCGCTCAACCACTCACTATGACTTGCACTGACTACCAGGAGGCAGACACTCTGACCAGTAGGTTAGCTTGCTGCTGGGGTCTGGCTGATCGGGATTGAGCGAGACAGGCCAGACACACCTTGGAGCCCTCCTGCAGTCCCTTCCTGGCTGGTCAACCTCCTGCATCCCTCCCTGGCCCGGATCGTGCACCAGTGGGGTCCCCCGGCCTGGCCTGTGCCCTCTCAAAATCCGGGACCCCTTGGGGGATGTCAGAGAGCCAGTTTCGGCCAAACCCGGAAGCCAGGCCGAGGGAGCCCTCTGGTGCACAAATTCATGCACCGGGCCTCTAGTAAAAATAATAAATAAATAAATAAATTTTAATAATAGGAACTAATCAGTACAAACCCAGAAGTGACAGCAGAGACATAAGTAGACAAAGAGGATTAAACCCATTTTGGCAGTGAGAAAATTGGAAAGATTTTTTGCTGACTTGGCCAATTATAGAAAGCTAGGACCTCCAGACCAGCATGGCTTAGTGGTTGAGCATCAATCTATGAACCAGGAGGTCATGGTTCGATTCCCAGTCAGGGCACATGCGGAGCTTCCGGCTCCATCCCCAGTAGGGGGCATGCAGGAGGCAGCCGATCAGTGATTCTCTCTCATCATTGATGTTTCTACCTATCCCTCCCCTTTCCTCTCTGAAATTAATAAGAAAGGAGAGGAAGAAAGAAAGAAAGAAAGAAAGAAAGAAAGAAAGAAAGAAAGAAAGAAAGAAAGAGCGAGCTAGGACCGTAGAGGTATTTATAGAGATACATAATGACTCACCGTTATAGATCCCACACCCTGGAAGGCAAGGTGAGGCACAGGACTGAAAACAGGAATAAATAAAATCTGAATGACGGACAGTGAGAACAGCGTGCCCCACTCCCCTGTCCTATCCTGTCTTACACTCATATCCAGACTTGGACCCTACCAGGCAAGAGAGTGGAGAATTCCTCTCTGGAAAAAGTGAATAGCCCTACATAAAAGAATTATGTCATTTGGAGTAAATCAAACAACAAGCTAGCTGATTAGTTTAATTTGAAGCTCACTCATGCTAACAGTGCTTCCAAGCAGCCTTTTTTTTTTTTTAAAAGAAGATTCCATTCTTCTTCTTCTTCTTCTTCATTTTTTCCAGAGAGGAAGGGAGAGGGAGAGAGAAGTTGAAACATCAAAGATGAGAGAGAACCACTGATTGGCTGCCCGCAACACAGCTCCTGCACACCCCCGACTGGGGATCGAGCCTGCAACCTGGGCATGTGCCCTAGACTGGAATCGAACCCGGGACCCCTCAGTCCCAAGGCCAGTGCTCTATCACTAAGCCTAATTAGCTAGGGCCAAGCAGCTTTTAAGGACCCCACTCCTAAGTGTGAACTAACAGCCAAGGATCTCCAGATAATTAAGGAAAGCCCATAGCACAAAAGAGACCAATTCAAATACTTGGGGAGTGGGGGAGAGCACAAAACAGAGTTAATGAGAAAATGAGCTCTAAAAGGGTATAATTAATAACCTCAAAGAAAAAAGGTACTGCATACATGAAATAAGAATAGGATGCAATGAAAAAGGAACAAAGAAGAAAAGCTCTTAGAAATTAAAAAAAATATATATCCCAGATAATAATTTTAAAAGAAAGACAAAAGAGAAAGTAGAGGAAATTTCCCAGAATAGGGAACAAAAAGTCAAAGTGATGCAAAATATGAAAAATTTAAGAAAATAAGAGAATCATTCTAGACAGAACTTGGCAAACTTTGACCTGGCTACCTGTGTTTATAAGTTTAATTGTACTAAGCCCATCAGTTTAGTACTGTCTGTGGCTACGTTCACACTACAATGGCAGAGTTGAATACTTACAACAGACTGCAAAGGCCCATGAGCCTAAAATACTTACCATCTTGCCCTTTAAGAAAAAATTTGTCAATCTCTGCTTTAGGAAATGTAACAAGACTAACAGGAATATCCCAATGAGAAAGAATTGACATAATACAAGGAAAGAAAGAATGGGAAAGAAAGTTTTAAAAAGTCCCAGAATTAAAGAACACAAGCTTTCAAAGTAAAAGAACCTATTACACACCTAACAAAATGAATGAAAAAAAGGATCCACACCAAGGCACATCATTGTGACATTTTTAAACAGAAAGATACAGATCTAAAAATGTCCAAAGGAAAAAAAAATATTTAGAAAGACTCGAGAAGGAATAAGAATAACATCAAACAATTTAGTAGTTTTAGGTTTGATCGAATAATTGAATTGATACCCCTCCCTCGGGAATTTACTTTCAGGCCATTTCACAAAGGACATTCCACTTGCTAAGACCATTCATTATCTTTCCCCTCAGGACTCACCTAGAGAATTCTCAGCCCAGAAAAAGCCCGCCTATAGTCCTTTAAAAATCTCTGACTTAAGGAAAGCCCATAGCACAAAAGAGACCAATTCAAATACTTGGGGAGTGGGGGAGAGCACAAAACAGAGTTAATGAGAAAATGAGCTCTAAAAGGGTATAATTAATAACCTCAAAGAAAAAAGGTACTGCATACATGAAATAAGAATAGGATGCAATGAAAAAGGAACAAAGAAGAAAAGCTCTTAGAAATTAAAAAAAATATATATCCCAGATAATAATTTTAAAAGAAAGACAAAAGAGAAAGTAGAGGAAATTTCCCAGAATAGGGAACAAAAAGTCAAAGTGATGCAAAATATGAAAAATTTAAGAAAATAAGAGAATCATTCTAGACAGAACTTGGCAAACTTTGACCTGGCTACCTGTGTTTATAAGTTTAATTGTACTAAGCCCATCAGTTTAGTACTGTCTGTGGCTACGTTCACACTACAATGGCAGAGTTGAATACTTACAACAGACTGCAAAGGCCCATGAGCCTAAAATACTTACCATCTTGCCCTTTAAGAAAAAATTTGTCAATCTCTGCTTTAGGAAATGTAACAAGACTAACAGGAATATCCCAATGAGAAAGAATTGACATAATACAAGGAAAGAAAGAATGGGAAAGAAAGTTTTAAAAAGTCCCAGAATTAAAGAACACAAGCTTTCAAAGTAAAAGAACCTATTACACACCTAACAAAATGAATGAAAAAAAGGATCCACACCAAGGCACATCATTGTGACATTTTTAAACAGAAAGATACAGATCTAAAAATGTCCAAAGGAAAAAAAAATATTTAGAAAGACTCGAGAAGGAATAAGAATAACATCAAACAATTTAGTAGTTTTAGGTTTGATCGAATAATTGAATTGATACCCCTCCCTCGGGAATTTACTTTCAGGCCATTTCACAAAGGACATTCCACTTGCTAAGACCATTCATTATCTTTCCCCTCAGGACTCACCTAGAGAATTCTCAGCCCAGAAAAAGCCCGCCTATAGTCCTTTAAAAATCTCTGACTCCCAGTCCCTGGGTGCTGGTGCCATTTGGGGGCTCAGACCATCTGGTATTCAGATGACCAAATCCTATATAATAAAAGCCTAATATGGCCCTAACCGGTTTGGCTCAGTGGATAGAGTGTCGGCCTGCGGACTGAAGGGTCCCAGGTTCAATTCCAGTCAAGGGCATGGACTTGTGGGCACACCCCCGATAGGGAGTGTGCAGGAGACAGCTGATCGATGTTTCTCTCTCATCGATGCTTCTAACTCTCTATCCCTCTCCCTTCCTCTCTGTAAAAAAATCAATAAAATAAAATTTTAAAAAGCCTAATATGCCAAGTGTCCAACTGTTCGTTCAACCAGTTGCTATGATGCGCACTGACCACCAGGGGGCAGACGCTCTGACCAGTAGGTTAGTTTGCTGCTGGGGTCCGGCCAATCGGGACTGGGTGAGATGGGTCGGACATGCTGGTGCCCTCCAGCAGTCCCTCCCCGGCCCTGATTGTGCACTGGTGGGGTCCCTCGGCCTGGCCTGTGCCCTCTTGCAATCCGGGACCCCTAAGGGGATGTCAGAGAGCACCGGCCAGGCCGAGGGACCCCACCAGTGCACAAATCCATGCACCGGGCCTCTAGTAAATTTATAATCCCTTACCACTTTGGCCTCGTGTGTTCCTCCTTCAGCGACCCCAACATTTGGTACTGAAACACAAGGGGGTTCCACAGGGATGGGGAGCCATCGCTCTGGCTTTAGTCACCCCAAGTTTGCTATTTGGAGAGCAGTTTGCAGCAGCTCAACCTGGGCTTACCTCCGAATTCTACTTGGTTGACTCCATTGCCAGCCTTGATTAGGCCTCCCTCCCTTATGGATCTTCCTGAACCAGCCAAGGAGGATGCTGGATCAGGAATCTCTCCTTCTCCATTACTGACCATCTCACACCGGCCAATCTACTCTAGGTG